TTACTGATATCTATCTTGTTCAGCTTTATCTGCCAGCTTGACACATACTAGAATCATCTGAAAAGGGAGTCTTTATATAAGAGGAAATGGGAAATCTACTGTAAGGCTGTAGCAAGGTCAAGGGAAGGGAAATACAGGCACACACCTGGTCTTATTAATGTTCTAGTTTGCTTTCTGTTGCTGTGATGACTTATGGGAAGAAGGATTTATTTCAGTTTATAGCTATTGTTCTTCATTACAGAAGGCCAAGACTACCTGTCCAGGGATTGGTACTACCCACAGTAGTGGGTTAGGCCTTTTTCCATATCAGTTGATAATCAAGACCATCCTCCACAGATGTGCACACAGGCCAGTACCATCTTACAGTCCCTGAACTGCGACTACCTTCTCATGCATGGAAGTGAGTGACTTCTGGCTTTCTGGATCCTTGGAGTGCAGTGCTGTGTGGATGAGCCATGCAGGGGTTTGATTTTATCTCCTGTAGCTAAATCCTACTCAGTCAGCGTCTGGGTCAGAATGGGTCAGATGACCGACTAGGTTAGTTATCCAGAATATCCGATCCACATTGGCCCACTCTGCTATATCTCTTTTCTGGACTCCTCCACACAATATATGTAGAACCCATCCCAAGTCAATAGTAATGTCCAGCACTTATCGAGCTGACCCACCTTGGAATGGTTATTTTCAGATACTCGTGTGATAGCCCTCTTCAGATTATTCAGACTTTAGCTCACATAACATAACCTCTTCCTCAAAAAGACACTGGGGTCCTAAACACTGCACTTCTTTGAACTTTCCCATCTATCTCACTGACTAGCCAATGCTGAGTTTTCCTGGTTGCTTGCTTCACTGTGAGACCTATCACACAGTAACACTCCAGGTGGCATTGGGGGGTCATCATGTTTCTATTGGAATGTAAACTTCATGCAAAAAATGCAGTGTTGCTTCTGGCACCTAAGTATACACATGGATGTATGCAGAGGGATAGAATCATGGAGAGACTGTTCTGTGCCAGCACTAAAGAATTTTGTATATTTTTTTTCTCATTGAGTTTCATACAATGCTTCTCTGAATTGGGTCCTGATATTAGCAGAATTGAAAACTGAGGATAAAAGAGGGAGGTAACTGTGTACAGCCATACTTCAGCGAAGCAGCAAAACGAAGACTCAAACTTTCTTCTATCTGGCCCTGAAGCACTATCTTTCCTTTATTATCATGCCATGAACTCACATTCTTTTTTTTCTCAGACAAAAGCAGCTGATTTCCTGTTGCCTTCCAAATGTATTTTAAATAGAAAAGGTTCCTTCCTTCCTTGCCTCATGCTTACCAAGGAATGGAAGGTTTATGCTGTTACCCCGTGTGGTGACTGGCCCAGAGAAATTGGTTCCTTGTGTGTTTTTGTGCAACATTGACCTTGTATCTTTCCTCCAGGGGAGAAGCCTATATTGCCTAGAATTTTATATTATTCTCTCCGTCCTTAGGGACCAAAACTATGCTGGATATCCTAAATAAAAAAAAAAAACCTCATATCTCCAAATATACTAATTACAGGTGGTACCTCCAAAGCCACAGAGAGCAAGACCTCAGATTTAATTAAGCCAAGGCTGTAACAGTCTGGGGACAGATGGTGATGAGGTAAAACATGCTATCCTAAGTTACAATGGGGTGAATGCAGGCAGAAGCCTATGGCGACTAACTAGGACAGACAGGAGACATCTGGTGCTTATCTCACAAGTTCACTGGATCTGGTCCCACAGTCCAAGTAGCTGGCAGACATGACTCTGGGCCAGGAGGGGCCTCTTTGCACAGGTTTCACAGTGTTCTTTGGAGTTCATGATGCTATGAAGAATCTATTCTGTCACAGAAGAGAGGTAGCTTGTCCTTGAAGCTCTACTGTCTCATAGCCTCTACGCCAGCTACTTTTCTCATTTCTGTGACCAAATAATAACCAAGAAACAACTTAAGGAGGAAGTATGGATTCTGAAACATGGTTTGAAAGTTTGTAGGCCCTCATGGCAAGGAAGACATGGTGTTAGGACATGCACACAGAAGTAACAAAACAAAAGTGAAGCTTCCTACTCATGTCTCCATGGACGAGAAAGCAGAAAAAGAAATGTACTGGTGCTCAACTTGTATGAACCTTAACAATGGATGAAGCTTCACATGATCATGGTAAGTCTTCTCAGTCTCAGTTAATCCTATATGGTGATGGCTGTCTGGGCATACCACATTCACATACACATACACACACACACACACACACACACACACACACACACACACCACATGCACACATAAGCACACACATTTATACACATAGACACAAGTGCAGGAACACATACACAAGCATAGGCACACATATAAACACACACATTTACACTCAGAAACACAAGCAAAGACACACAAACACACACACAAGCACACATATACATTCGTAAACAAGCACAGCACACATACAAGCATACACATGTACATGCAGAAACACAAACATAGGCACACACATACACACAGGCACAAACACACAAAAACACACACATTTCACTAATGCACAATCAAGTTAACAATTCAGCCATCATACTGTTCCAATAAGCTTGTGCTTCCCACAAGCCTCTGCTTTCATTTACTATTTATGTTTTCTAAGGTGTGTGAAGCTGTGTTATAGTTAGCCATGAAAATCATGTTGCCATAGTCATTACTGCCATCATTATAAGAAAAGCAGTCAAAAGATGCCCATTCATACAACAAAGATTTCTGTTCCACTATGTTCATAGCAGCTTTATTTGTAATTGCCAGAACTTGGAAGCAACCTAGATGTCCCTCACTTGAAGAGTGGATAGAGAAAATGTGGTACATCTACACAATGGAGTACTATTCAGCAGAAAAAAATAATGGAATCATGAGATTCGCAGGCAAATGGATGACACTAGAAGAAACCATCCTGAGTGAGGTAACCCAGTCACAAAAAGAGAAACATGGCATGTACTCTCTCATATATGGATTTTAGACATAGATCTGGGGAGTGCCAGCCTTCAATCCTATGGCCAGAGAGTCTGGGAAACAGAAACTTTATTTAGTGGCTGATCGAAGAAGAGGCAGACTCCCTTGGTTAAGTACTGAGCTGAACTCAAGAAAGCCAGTAACAGAGAGGGAGGACTGATGATCAAAGGGATTAAGACTGGGCTGGTTTAACCCCCAGAAACAGCTGACCAGACAAAGGTTAACTCTTGAATCCCAGGCATCAGTCTGGGAAGCCAGCATGGGACTGATCAAGACCCCCTGAATCTGGGTGTCAGTGAGGAGGCCTAGGGAATCTATTGAGCCTTGGGCAGCAGATCAGTACCCATCCCAAGTATACACACGGACTTTGGACTCCCATAGAACAATGTGAGGTGCACTCTCACCCCGAACTCTTGGGGAAGGGTCTAGGCCCTGCCCTATATGAAATGACAGACTATGCACACCCCCATGGAGGGCCTCACCCTCCCTGGGGAAATGAGGGGGGGGGAGGGCTCGGGAGGAAGGGAGGGAATGGGAGAGGGACCTGGAACTGACTTGTGAAGCAACCTTGTTTCTTATATAAATTTAAACTGGAAAATAAAAAAAAAATTAATAACACAAAAAAGTGAAAAAAAAACAAATTCAATTCTTTTTAATCTACCAAGACTGATTTTCTTCCACAGAAAATAGTTTATTTTGGTAAATGCTTCGTTTCAATAACACTTGAAATAACTGTTTTCTGATGTGTTGGATGCAGGGTATTCTATCGTGTCAATCAGGTCAAGTTGGCTGATATTATTTAGTTTTACATTTCTTAATGATTTTCCATCTCCTTGTTCCATCAATCTTTGAGAGAAAACAATTAAAATCTCTAACAAAATTGTTAAAAAAAAAAAGAAAAGCAGTCAGCATTTTTGACCATACCCTTTTGGTAAGAATTATTCATAGTGAATGTTGTGCATATCTCCTAAAATCCTCATACCAGAAATCAAGAAGATAAAAACATTCCTGACTTCATTTTTTAAATATTGTAGATGAGGAAGGTAGGGAAAACACACATGATTCTTTGGCATAACTACAGGTCTGTCAAGGGGTTTAATGAGCTTGGGACAGGAACGGTCATATCTCAACTGAAGCTTTGTAGAGAGGCAAAATGCAGAGCCAAGGAGAACCACATGTTCCTCCCATGGAACTGATCAACCCATGAATTGACCAGGACACTATTTCCCGTCAGTCTCAAACACCATTTCAACATTGCTTCAACACATATGCAATGAAATTTTCAAAGAGGTAATAAAATTATAAGATAAAGTGGGGGGGGGAGAAATCCTCAGTCATTAAAAAGGTTTTAATGTAAAAAGCTGAATATAGTGATGTGTGACTATCATCTTAGCAATGGCAAGATGGGAAAGGGACACAGGTGGTTCTCTAGAAGCTCAGTGGTCAGGTGACCAAGCTTGCTTGTCAAAGTTTAAGGCTAATGAGATTATCCTCTGACCTTCACATGCATCATGTGCACGCGCGTGCACACACACACACCAATTTGCACATGCATACCAACTCGCACACGCACATGCACTTGCACACAGAGACATACACATATATATATGCATTCACATACACAAAACACGGAAGTGTAACAGAAGATATTCTGCACTGTGCAAACAATACTGGGAAAGGGGGTAGAGAATGAGAGTGGGACGGTTATTCTAGGTGGACTGATTCAGGAGGTCCTATGTGATGAAGTAACCTGAGAATACAGGCCTAGCTGAAGCATGAACAGAAATGTGAGAGAAACATTTGAAGTTCGTGACTGCCTTCAAGCCCCAACAGGTAGCCCTGGCTCCTCTTCAAACCCATCCACTCTCCTCTTCAAGTCACTGTTGTCTTCCTGCTTTTGCAAACACTCATGCCTCAAGAGATTCACACTTTGGGGTATGGTTTTAAGTTCTGCCTTATTTTTGTGTGTGCTATTTTAGGTAGAGGCCGTAACTTACCTTCTGATTCTGAGCCTTGAGTGAGTCTTTGTGAGGGGACTGATAGGCAAAATTCACTCACATCTTCCAAACCCAAAGCAGCAGTGTCCCAGTTCTTGGTAAACAGTGTCCTTTGCTTGGGTTTATCTTCTCACACTTGAGGGCTATAAGCATTTAGAGGAATGAGTAGGTTAACAATAGTTGGTCCATTCTGGGGATGGAGGACTAAAGTGTGTGTGTATGTGTGTGTGTGTGTGTGTGCGCGCGTGTATGTGTCCCTGATGGTGTGCACACCAGTGCAAGAGTGTGAAGAAGTCATAGGCTGGGGTTGGAATGTCTTTCTCAATCACATTGCACTTTATTTTTTGAGACAAGGTCTGGATCTGGAACTTACCAATTCAGCTAGATTCTCAGGCCAGACACAACCCCAGATCTACATGTTTCTGCACCAAAAATACTGTAACTACAGACATGGGCCACCATGCCTGAATTCTAAAGTGGGTACTGGAGACTCAAACTCGGGTCCTCACACTTGCTTGTATGGCAAGCTGTTTACCCACTGAACCATCTTCCCATCCCTGGGCAGAGGCTCTTCAAGGGTGCGGCTTCTTTAAGGGCATCTTGTGAGCTTCTTTATGTCCTCTAACACCCCAAGAAACATAACATTCTAATACTATTATCTCGGTTGGTAGAAAAAAACTTGAAACATCACCAAATTTCTAATTGATATTCTCAACAAGAACATTCTTCAGTGACTCAGTGAGCCAAAACACAGAGGTATATCTGTAATGCCACCTTCCACTTAGGATGTCCCATGCCTCTAACTTCTGCTGTATCCTTGCAGAGGTCCATCAACTCTCAATAAATCAAGGTCACGACCAAGGTATCCCACACTCAGAGTAGCATAATGTGTGATTTCTTAGCTTAGTTACTGAAGCCACTGAATGTCTTTCCTAATTTCCTGGATCATTCTGTCTGGAACAAGCTATACTCCTTGCTGTGAAGACATTCAGGTTGGCCTGTAATGACATCTGTTTGGAAAGGTTTCTCCTCTACCAGTACCAATCATGGGAGTGCGACACTTGGGAAGCAGATACATTCACAGTGAAGCCTGCAGTGTCACTTGGGCTTACATAGCTGACTGCAGCTTTATGTGACACTGCAGACAAAACTGTTCCTTTGAGTCATGCCTGAATGCCTGACCCTTGAGAATTCTGGGGAGAAATAAGAATTATAAGTCTAAGCTTAGGACATGGGTAAAGGACAAAGCATGACTGCTATTTGGAGATTAAGCCCTCTTTGCTCTTGGTGATACTCATCTCCTTGCCATGATCCATGTGACTGGCTGTGGCTGCCTTCTCTCACACCCACCTCGTGAGAAACAAGAAAAAGAAAGAAAAAAACAGAATTGTGTTTGGGGTCTGGGAAGATGACTCATTCATTTGTAAAGTGCTTTCCATGTAAGAATAAGGACTTGAGTTCAATCCCCAACACCCATGCAGTAAGAAAAACTATGTGTAGCAGTAGATGCTTCTGCCTCCAGCACTGGGGGAGAGAGTAGTGAGGCCAGGAGATCCCTGGAGCTTGCTAGTCTGCTAATTCTGCTAAGTCAATGAGTTTTTTGTTCAGTGTGAGATACTGTCTGAGAATACAAGGTGGAGAGCAAATGAAGATTATTTCCAATATTTACTTTTCTCTGGTTTAACTCTCTCTGCTCTCAAAACTTCAATCTACAGCAATTAAGTAATTGAGGCAGTAAAGTATTGACACAGGATCAACAGAATAGGAATAAATGTAACATCATATTTATCGTGGATGGACCCATTCTAAGAACCAGAGGACCAGGGAGTTTTCTGTGAGACTGTTTCTCCTAATAATCTCTGAATCTGTACCCATACAGTCTCATCAACATGCCTGCCCAAACAGAAGCAGAACAAGGACAATAACAATAGATATGCCAAGTGGATATGTGAAATGCACCTGAGGCCTCATTGCTATGCAAAGAACTATAGGCAGCTAAGGAATGTTGAGAATGGGAGAAATAGCCTTCCCCAGGGAAGAACACACAAAATGGTTACCCAACACCAATGGTTAGCCCTGAAGGATTCTGAATTTTGACCTCTGTGCAATTTCAATGGTGTGGTGTCCACAGGGAAGGCCTTTGTCCAAGGTTGTTAAGAATGCTGCTCCTTCTCCTCTCAGTGGATTCTCACAGCCAGAACCTCAGAGCCCCACCTCAGCTCTGCTCATATGTTGCTTCTTTCCACTCAAGGCCTTGGGGAAATGTGTGTTTACCTATTGCCAGCGCACAGCTGAACATATGGTAAACGTTCTGCCTTCTGCCAACAAGAGTTAGTGGAATAACTAGAATTCATTTGCTTGATACAAACTCTAGCCAGGGATTTAACTGAGAGTTGGCCAAGGTAAGCTGTTAGCCAATGATTGATTTCTCAGCTCCTAGGAAAGGCCTGTATCTGCCTGGTGGTCCTTGCAGTTACCTCAGAGCACAAGGAGATGCTTAATTAGGATTATCGTTGCATCTGTCGCTAACCCAGTGCCAATCATCTCTTCTTTGGTTCCCATCCCTGCCTTTGCTCATCCTTCTCTGCTGTGGGTATTTCAAGAGCTCATTTCAGGGCATTTTTTCTTTGTGTTGTTTGTTTTAGGTTTGCTGGTTTGTTTGTTTGTTTTTTTTTGTTTGTTTTGTTTTTGTTGTTTTGTTTTTGGTTTTGGTTTTGGTTTTGGTTTTTCGAGACAGGGTTTCTCTGTGGCTTTGGAGGCTGTCCTGGAACTCACTTTGTAGACCAGGCTGGCCTCGAACTCACAGAGATCCGCCTGCCTCTGCCTCCCAAGTGCTGGGATTAAAGGCGTGCGCCACCAACGCCCGGCTCTGTTTTTTTTTTTTTTTTAATAGGAAGAAATGTAAAAGTAAACGTGCACATGAAACTTTGAGGGATATGGCACTATGTAATTTCCAAAGGCTAGTTGGCCCATTAATTAATGATGATCTGGGATTTTAAATATCATCTAGGAAATGATGAGAATTATAGATGCTCAGAATTCCTCCTCAGAGACAGATTATAATCTGTTTTTAAATTATTTTGTGTGTGTGATGTGGTGCCATCCATGTGTCACAGTTAGAAATGTAGAGGACAGAGGACAACTTTGTGGAGTCAGTTCTGTCCTTATGACTTTGTGCGGCTTCTAGAGACTGAATTCACATAATCAGGCTAGCACACCAAGTTTCTTTACCCATTGAAACATCTGTTACCTCTGCCATCTGGTTCTAAAACCTTAAATAATTATATTCTAGGTATACTCAGAAACCATTCTATTTTATATCATATGTTCATAGATTTTTTTTGATACAGGGTTTTATGTGTAGTCCAAGTTGCCCTGGAATTCACTGTTTAGCAGAGGATGACCTTGAACTTCAGAAATTCTTGATGCTATTTCTTGAGTACTGCGATTATACCATCATGCCCAGTTTATGTGGTGCTGGCCATTGAATGCTAGACAAGCACTCTTCTGAGATATGCCCTAAGTCTATGTAATTCATTCCTAAATCCAGTACTCAGACACACACTACTCAAACTCCAAAATAACTCAGAGCATTCTTGAAAAATGACTTATGCTAATTTGTTCTTTCATGATTATTGGGTGTCTGAAATAATATCAATTGCCACCAATGTGCGGGGTAGAGAAGGACTTATAAATTTCTTCTTCCAGGTCATTATAATAAGCTGTACGCATTGAGGAAGCAATTCACATATGTCAAAAAGAAATGTAGGTCAACATACAATCATGAGACATGTGTTCTTTGAATGCAAAGTTCACTGAAATCAGACAAGCCCTAGTCGTAGGAACCTTTACCTCTGGTTGATGCCAAAAGGCACAAATCTTCAGCACCTCTGAATCCAAAGCCCAGAAACCATTCTGAAGAACTCTTTGTCTAGGCCTGCGCCAAGCTGATATTTCTGCATGCAGAGCATTTCTCATCTCTCACGATGTTATCCAAAACTTTGATTTAGGTTGAAGACATGGGTAGTTGAACCTCATGTGAACATTTGGTGAATGGTTTGAACACTGTCCTTAAGGTGCATGTTTTTTAGTAAGATATTATTAGTGTTGTTACATCATAACTCTTCTCATGTTATAAATAAAAGCCCACAGCATGTGTTCCTGGAGCATAAGTTCTACACTGAAGTATTTTAAGGGACCACAATAAATGGAGGATGCACAGGGATAATACATTCAATCTTTGGTGATAAAAATATTGCAGAACATTTAATGAGAATGAGCCAGATATTTGTACTTGAAATACTCAAAGTGATAAAACTTAGGAATGGCTTTGTCAGCAAAATCTTGCCCACATTGCTCTTGCATGTCTAAAGTTAGATAAATCTAGCCTTTTGAAACATCTTCTTTAAAATGAAGGTTCAAGAAAACTTTATTTTTTGCTTTTCTGACCTCACCTTTACATACCTAGAAAATAATATTGGACTAGATCATTAGTGGTTGCTTATTTGATCACTTGCAATCATTAATGTTGCCAACTCCACAGGATCTTGTCACCTAGAAGACAAAGGCCTTTAAAGTAGTGTCTATATTTAAAGTGGGCTCTTCCACCTTAAAAATGGGCAACATGATCCTATGGGCTGGAGTCCCAGAGTAAATACAAAGAGGAAATCAAGCTAACCTCATTTCCCTATCTTGACTAGCAACCCAGTGTGACCAGCTGCTTCATGCTCATGCCTTCCCTACTATGTGGGAACATACCCTTGAACTGTGAGCTTTAAGAAGTCCTTCCCTTAGTATATTGCCCTGGCCAGATACTTTATTGCAGCAATTAGAGCATACCTAACAGAACTTTGTGGCTTGGCTCTAACTTCCCCACTGCTCAGAAGTGGTTGTGTGTATTCAGTTGCACCCACAATAAAATCCATTCATTATTGTAAGCGATCAATTTCCAAATTACTTGAAAGAAGTTCTCTAAATCTTAGAGAGTCACTTGACTGGATCTATCAGATAGAATCTATTGATTAGAACTGTGTGCTTCAATTCAGAGTCATTATGGTCTTTTTAATTACTTTACATTTGATTAAATTAACTAATTGAAAATCAAGTTAAAGTTCTTTTTATACAAACACAATCACCTGAGTTAAGGAACAGAATTTTCATGTATAATAGCAGACTCTACTTTACTTACATGTATGTGTTTGACATACTCCCAACAGTGGAACCTGGTGTTTTCTGGTACTGACCTAAGTCATCAGTCATCCCAGAAATCCAGAGTACCACTGAATGTAGTTTTTGTTTTGTGTAAACCTAATGAGTATGTGAACTCTAAATAGGGCAGTGCTACCCAGTTGACGATAAAGAAAACAGGTTTGAGGGACAGACTGATCATAGACTTAAATCCTGACTCTGTGATTGATGGACTATGACCTCTGTGTGTGTATATATGTGTATGTGTGCTTATGTTTGTGTAAATGCAGGAGGGTATGCTCAATTGTCTTAATACCTGTATCTTCCTCAGCTGCTCTCCACTTTATATTTCGAGGGAGAATATTTGACTGAATCTGGAATGCTCCCTTTCAGCTGGCTGGCTGGCCAACATAGCCCCAGAGCTCTGCCTGTTTCCCCAGCCCCAGCACTGCGATTACAAATATCCATTGACTCAGCAAGCACAGCAAACAGTTTACCTATTAACCCATTTGCCCAGGCCTAACTGCAACCTTTGACAAGCTGTTTAGCCACTCTGAACTTAGGTTTCCCTTCCAACACTATTGATCTTTTGTGATAAATAAGGTAACAGAAAGTACTTACATATAGCAAGTAGCCAGTTGAAAAGTGTGTTGGTTGAGTCACCTGTCTATGAAGATATGGGCCATCTTTCCATTATCATGTGTCAAGAGAACCCTAGTCATTTACCCCACTCATTCTTCTTTATAACTGATGCATTGAAGGACAATTCACATACTACACAACTCTTTTTTTTCTTGGTTTTAGGAGACAGGGTTTCTTTGTATTGTTTTGGAGGCTGTTGGTCCAGCCTGGCTTTGAACTCATAGAGATCCGCCTGCCTCTGCCTCCCGAGTGCTGGGATTAAAGTCGTGCACCACCACCACCACCACCACCCATCTACTACACAACTCTTTAAAGTGTAAAATCTACTTCTCATCAGTATATTCACAAATGTGCATAGATGTTGCCAATGTCTATGAAGTATGTATTAATTCTTTCAGAAAACAAAACAAACCAACCAAACAAACAAACAAAAACCTCCTGGCTGCTCAGTTCTTCCTTTCTTCTGATTCCCATGGGTAGGGTTTTGTTGCTTAATGACTTCTGAGCAATTGTTGCATGAGTCTCTTCCTATAGAAAGGCCAGTGTTTCTGATATCTGTGGCCAATGCATCCCTTAGAAACTCATTATCACACATTCACAAATGTGTGACTGACTTGAAAATTACCCTTAGCTTTTGCCTTTGTTTTGAAGACAGCATAGGTGGCCTCCTGCCCAGTAGTCGATGGATAATGACTGAAGCAATGTCTGTTTTGTTACTGGTTGCCAAGAAAAGAACAGATCTCCACATGGAGGACTTCGTATCTCCTGCTGCAGTGCTGATTGATTCTTTATTTTCTAAGCTGTTCTTAGGCTGTAAAGGTTCCCATCCACAGGTCCCAGACCTGTCAACACAAGACATAAAAGCCGTGGGAGAGAATGTTTAGGTACAAATAAGGGAAAAAAACATTTAACATGAACTACAGTATGGGAAAATTATATTAGATCTAGCATTTTACTTTGGGCACTTAAATCTATTTATTAGTATGATAGCAGTAATAATAATAGTATCATGCATTATGTTTTATTTCTTGTGTATGTGTGTGTATATGCTTGTGCAGGTACATGTGTGCCTTTGCACACCTGTGTTGCACTGAGGACAAATAACATGGAGTATCAGTACTCATGTCTCACTTTGTTTGAGAAAGGGTCTCCTTGTTCATTGCTGTGACTGCCAGTCTTATTAGAGAGAACTTTCAGGGATTTTCACGTCTCTGTGCCCCATTGCATTTTAGGGGACCTGGAATGAGAGCTGTGTGGTCTGGTGTCTGACTTCAGGTAGATTCTGAAGGGTTTAAGTCAGTTTTTCTATCTTGCATGACCTGTGCTTTAGTCACTGAGTTATCTGCCCCTGCGCATGATGTAGATTCTTTGCAGACAGTATTTATTTTATCCCACATTGATCTGAGTATAACAATTGCTGATATTTGAAAAACAAGGAAGACAAAATATAGGAAGAGTAAGTAAATTACTCATGTATATTGCTAGTTAATGGCAAGACCAGAATCTTAAAAACTGATCAGTTTGTGTTTAGTACTTAAATCCTTACACTTTGGTCATTTTATTCTTCTTTTCTGTACTCCATAGTTGGCTAATTGTGTGTATGCGTGTGTGCATTTACACACGTGTGCACACATACCACATACACATATACACAGACACACACAAATATGTACATATATGCATGCACATAAACACATACACACACCCACACGGAAACACAAATGCACAGATATGTGCACACACATACTCACACACACACATTCACAAAGATGTGTCTTTGAGTCCTAGCTTCTCTGTACTGAGATGATGTAATTCCCACAGGAAATAGTGAAAACATATAACTGTAAATATTTACCTGTGCAGAAGACATTGTCTTATAATCTTACCTCCTGAAACATTATCTTCACCTGTTTGTGTTTAATAAAATGTCCCCTTGTTGTCTAGACCAACGTCAATTTATGAATGAGCTGCTTGTCAGGCTGGGAGTCTTTCAGAACTCTTCAGAACTGCCATGAATCATGACTGTGAGATATTTTCTTATCAATTAATTTTGTTCAAATTCTCCCTTATGCCTGTAGTATTCCTGACTGCTGAGTCAATTAGAATATTTTTGTTAAAAATGCCAGAATTGCTGCTCAGAATCCCAACTTGAAATTGTGGAAATTCCTGGCTCAGATGTGTGAACAGTCAAATACTAAGTAGCTTTGGTGTAAGTAGGTTCAGGGTTAATTACCATGTTACTTATTTTTCTTGTGCTCTTTGTCTGTCTTTCTAGGCTTTTTTCTCATACAAGATTTCTTTAAGAGTGGAAATCATGTCTCTGGGAGAGAAAATATCTTTCTCACTGAAAATAGTTCACAAACTACAGTTTATTTGGCCAAGTTAAGTTAATCCCAGATTGAGTGGATGTAATATGAAGATACTGTGTTCTGGTTGGCCGCATGACCCTGCTTGATCCAAGTCCTATGACACACGTGGAGCTAGTGTGGAGGAGTTGGTAGACTATGGTGAGGGAAGTATAGTTTTCCAAAGGAGAATGAGAGTTATTGTCACCTATAGAGTATTGGAGCCACAGTATCCAGGAAGGAACACTTACCCTACCCTGGTGTGAGTTAAACAGACAAAGAAAGATTAATAGTGAAAATTGTGTTTGTTGATATGCATACAAGAGTGCCCAGATGAGGGAGGTCATGAATGGACACAGGTTTAAGCCTCTAACTGATATACTTTGCTTTTATGATGCTGTGATAAAAAACATGACCGAAAATAACTTGGGGAACAAAGGGTGCATTTGGCTTACACTTCCAGGCCATGGTCCATCCATGGGTTGGAATCGGAACTGAAGTAGAAACCACAGAGCAAGGCTGCTTACTGACCCACTTTCTGCTTTCTACTCATCTGGTTTTCTTACACAGCCCAGGATGGCCTATGTAGTGAAGGTACTGCCCACACTTGTTTGGGCTCTCAAGGTATTTTGTCACAGGCATAACCACAAGTCAATCTGATCTTAGGAATCCTTCAACTGAGACTCGCTCACAGGTGACTTTTTGCTTTGTTTCATTTATACAAAACCCAACTAGAGAAAAGTGCAGGAAGAAATGGGAAATATCACTTTGGCACTAATGCTGAGGAGATGGGATAAAGATATGTGTGATTGATCTATTCTGCCATGGCCATATACTTCATTAGCTACAGGAATGGGGTGGCTTTATTCTTAGTTTCCTTCTTTAAGTAGAAACCACACAAAGACAGGATTTACCTCTGTCTGTTTGCTGAAACTTTTTAATGAGATGGGGAAAGCTCCCATATCTTCGTACTCACACTGAGGCCCTAAGTATATTGCCACAGTAGGCAGGGCTAAAACTTTTATTTGATTGACATTGAACCATGCCTTCTCTAAAAGACTGGCAGTCTTTTAAATATTCTTAAAATGGCAGTCCTCTTCCCAACCTAGTATTCTCTGAATGCTTTCTCCAGAAGACTATGACCAAGACATTGAATGCCTTCAAGGTTAATAGAAAGAGCAGGGCGTTGGTGGTGCACGCCTTTAATCCCAGCACTCGGGAGGCAGAGGCAGGTGGATCTCTGTGAGTTCAAGGCTAGCCTGGTCTACAAAGCGAGTTCCAGGACAGCTTCCAAGACAATACAGAGAAACCCTGTCTCGAAAAACCAAAAAAAAAAAAGATTAATAGAAAGAACTGCAGAGAATCTCTCTACAATATGTATGTAGGTATGAAAATTTTTGAGAAATAATGGAGACAAATTGGAGGAATGACTGCTCCTTCAGTGTTTAGAAGAAATTATTGGGTCTGAACAAGTTGGGAGACAAAGTTAACTTAAGACAGAGATTTTTGTTAACCCATGTTATTCATTGGTGTTAAAGACAGCCAGGAATAGAGAAACCTATACTTTTTCAATTTAATGAACTATCTTTCTGTTCCTATGTGTCAGACAATCTTTGAAATTTACATTTTAGTTCACTTCATCCTCATGAAAACCCTGGAAGTCAGGTAGTATTACCATCCCCATTTTCTACGAAAGGAAACTGAGTTGAAACAAGCTAAATAATTTGTCAAACCCACCTGAAGTTTAAAGTGGTAGAGTCAGAAATAGAATGGGGCAGTATATGCTTTTCAAGGCATTGAATTAGAAAAAAGAGTCTACATTGACAATGAGAAGATCAAGTTCAGGAAATCTAAAAGTAGAACAATGGGAGTAGTTGAGAAACAAGAGAACTGATAAAGAACCACCTTGACTGATACTCTTTCTAAGCATGAAAGTGAAGAAAAGACAGAGTTTTTGGTATAAGAGGGCATACCCATGATTCTAGTACTTGAGGGGTAGAGCAAGGCCTATTACCACAAGCTCACTATCCCTCTCGATGACAGAGGACCTATGTGTAAAACAGAAAAAGAAATGTCACATGATACACAACAAAATATCCCCATACCTAAATCAGTGATTTATAGGTTGCAAAAATTTCCAGAACTACATACATCATTGGTATGAAGCTTCAAAATAATAACAATAACAATAGGAACAACAATAACAAAAAGAACAAAGAAAAAATCTCAGGGAAAACTGGGAGGGGAAGGAAAATGGGGAAGGGACAAACTGAAATAGAATTACAACCTACGTTAAATAAACCTATAACAGTATTTTTATTTTTTGTGTGTTTGTTTTTTAAACAAAATGTTATTTAAATTAAAAACAATATTATTTTATATACCAATCCCACTTCCCTCTTCCTCCAGTCCTTTCATGACCCCCACCAACTCCCATCCCACCCATAAACTCCCCAGGCAGGGTGAGGCCTCCCATGGGGGATCATCAAAGTCTGTTGAATAATTTGGGGCAGGACCTAGGCCCTCCCCCATATATCTAGGCTGAGAGAGTATCCCTCAGTGGGGAATGGGTTCCCAAAGCCCATTCGTGCACTAGGGATAAATAAATTCTAGGAACTGACACCCACCTCAGGGGGCCTGGTTTGGTTTTATGCTAGTTGCCAAGCTGTCAGACAGGAGTCCATGAGTTCCTGCTTGCTCAGATCAACTGTTTCTATGGATTTCCCCAGCATGATCTTGGCCCCTTTGCCTATCACTCCTCCCTCTCTACAACTGAATCCTAGGAGTTTGGCTCAGTGCTTGGCTGTGAATCTGCTTTTGCTTCCATCACCTACTCTATAAGGGCATTTAAGGGAATCATCAATCTCATTATAAGGGAATGGCATTTAATGTAACCTCTCCACTATAGTTTAGATTCTTAGTTTGGGTCATTCTTGTGGACATCTGGATATTTTCCTAGTGCCAGATTTCTCTTTAAAACTATAATGGCTCCCTCTATTAATGTATCTTTTTTCTTGCTCTGCTTCTCTATTCTTTCCCCCAACTTGATCTTCCTGATCCTTCATGTTTTCCTCCTCTTCTCCTCTCACCTACTCTTTCTCCTACCTCCCTCCTCACTCCCCTATGCTCCCAATTTGCTCAGGAGATCGTGTCTCTTTCCCCTTTTCCCAGTTTCAAACTAGATTTCTATACCAAGCTAAATTATCACTGAATTGTGAATGCGTGCTCACACAGTTGAAAAAGAACTTACCATAACACCCCTTCTTGGGTAGCTGTGTAGTATGCAATCTCTGATATGTAGTAGAAAACAGAGAATGAGCATACTGAATCTAGGAAACAATATGAGAAGAATTTTCCTGCCAGACATGGTGTTGCATGGCTATAACTATAGCACTTAGAGGCTGAAATAGGATTGCCTGGTGTTCAATACAGTTTCAGCTACACACACAGAATAAGGACATTCAACACTATATAGGAAGAACCCATTGCAAAAACCAAAAGGCAAAAAAAGTAAGCACATGGGTTGTGGGGAGGGGAGCACAAGAGAAAAATAAGGTAATCATTACCTATAAGAAACATGGATATATAAAAATGAAAATTTCAGTTGATGCATTTTCAGCAGAGAACAAACTATCCTAGCTTGTATGTTGCTATGAAAAACACTGTAACCAAAAATCAACTTGAAGAGTAAAGGGTTTATTTCAACTTACAGCTTACAGTCAGGAACTCAAGGCATGAACCTGTAGGCAGGAACTTAAGCAGAGGCTATGGAGAAGTGTTGCTTTCTGACTTGCTCCCCATGACTTCTCAGCTTGTTTTCTTAAAGTATCCAGGACTGCCTGTTCAGAGGCTACATCACCTCCAAGGAGCTGGGACCTCCCACATCAATCATCAACCAAGAAAGTGGTCCACAGGCTTGTCATTGGGTCAGTCTAGTAAAGACACTTTCTCAGTTGAGGCTCCTTTTCTCAGACTACCCCAGACTGTGTCAAGTTGACAAAACACCAGCCAGCACATAGACCAGACTTAGTCATATTAATGTAATTTCCTTTTAATTAAGAGAAGCTGTATTATTAGGAGAAGTTCTGTGAAGACAGATGAGAAACCGGTGTTAGAAAGATTTTAAACCCCATTTTCCACAGTAGGAAGATCGTAGATTTTTTTTCTAATTTTTCTAAGTGCAAAAGGAGCAGAATCAGTCTGTTTCAAGGGAATAGAAATCTAAAGGAGAGACTCGTTCTGATATCAGGAAGTTGAAATAATACTTTCAAAAGATTTATTTGTAAGTTCTCCAGTACTGCTTTCTATTTTAATCATTTTCCTGCATTATTTTGATTAAAAAATGCAAATCAACATATTGGGTAGTGTCCTTGAGATCACAGAATGTCATTCCATAATGCATGGGGGCAAAGTCTACATACTGTTGAGATAGTTACTTAAGACCTTTGGTCATATTTCTAGAAACAACATAAAATCGAATGAAACACAAATGTATTAAGCACTGCTTTTCCTATAACTCAAGCAGAAATGAGATCTGGGATATTGTATTACATGAGTCAAAAGTGGCTCCAGGCAACATTACAGAATTGCTTATAATACGTTTCAAAAAGAATTAATTCACTTATTGAAATATCTGAATATAAGACCACTTATATGTTGAGATTGTCCACTCTACTCAAGTTTATATGCTTTTAAAGATTTGTATGTTTGCTCATTTGTATGTGTGTATCTCTCTGTGTGGGTACATATACCATGTGATTGCAATGCCCACAGCCACCAAAAGAGGGTGTCAAATTACCTCTTATGGATTATTAGCATGTGGTTGTGAGTCACCACATGGGTGCTGGGAACTAAGCACAGGTCCTTTCTAGATACAGCAAACATTTCTAATGTCTTAGCCATCCCTCAAGCTACACACTACCTGATTTCAAATACATATGCTTAATAATTATAGTACTCCTGTATTATATTGGGGTAACTTGCTTAAGCTTTGCTCACCTCAGTTCTCTTATCAATGAATAACGATATTGCTGGTGCCACAAGGATACTGCATAGATTAAATATGCTAATGAGGAAAGTCTATAGGAAAGTTAAAGCAGAGCATGGTAAGGTGTGTTTGTCCTCCCAGCCCTCAAGAGGTTGAGCCAGAACTGTCTTGATTTTGAGAACAGCCTAGACTAAGTGAGGAACTCCTAAGTCAAAATGAATGGTAGAATGGTATCTTCTACACAGTAACCATTCATTAAATCTTATCAAGGTAAATGACTTTCATAACATTAAAACTAGGGATGAGTGTTTTAAAGCAGAAGAGGAGGGCTTCGGTTCTACGAGGGACATGAGACGGGTGCATACAATGTTGGATATTTTGATAGTTTTCCACTGTTCCCTCCTTTGGGCTGCCGCCTTCATTCTGCTGTGATGGAACACAGTCTAGCCTTTCTAAACAGAAGTCCCTTCATTGTATTTAAAAAGGCAAAAGAGAGGCAGGCAAACCTCATCAACTCTGAGCAGTCTACCAGGAACCCTGAGCAAGTGGTTTCCTTCTGGACTATCTTGGGAAGGTGCCTGAGTTAGCAACCTTGTTAATTATGTGTCTCTGGCATCTTGGGGACAGAGCTGAGAAATTATGCAGGTTCCTCCCCTCAAGATTCCCTCTTCCACTCTAGGCTTAGTTCACACTGGTCAACATAGAAAGTACATTTTTCTTTGTTTTTGTTTGGTTTTTCAAAACAGTGTTTCTCTGTGTAACAGCCCTGCTTGTCCTGGATCTCCCTTTGTACACCAGGCTGGTGTCAGACTCACAGAGAAACTCCTGTCTCTGTCTCCAGAGGGCTGGGATTAAAGCCATGGACACCATCACCCAGCTAAAAGGTGCATATTTCCTCATTTGTTATCATGATTGCCATGATTTCCAGAGAATGATGTGACCTACCAGAGACCCCTGGTGATTTGAGCAGGAAAGAAACAACAGACATAAAGTCTATAGTCTGGGGACTGTGATGGCAATCCTGAAACAGCAGGGGGAAAAAGGAGGGCCAAAGGCCTTGACCGGGAGTCTGGGATAAAGCCAGAGACAGCCTGCTCAGGAGATCTTAGAGGAGGGGAGGAAGGGAAGAAGGGAGCAAGAGAAGAAGGGAGGAAGGGGATTATTTTCAGTTGACAGTGATGACTGGAAAAGAGTGAGTTTACAGGTTTTTCTATTGGGATGTTAAGGTGGCTACCCTCCACAGAGTGCATGCTGTGTCGCAGGTGTTTGCCAATAAAGTGTGCTGTGTCAGCTAATGTCATCCCTACAGGAGAGCCCATTGAGGTTGACTCGGAAATCAGTAGTGATAGATGAGAGAATGAAACACTACTATATCTGTGTGCAGATTCAGTTACAGAGGACTTGGTGTTGACTCTTTGACCTTGAGATCTTCATTGGCATGCTTGCCTGCAGTCTCTCTCCAATCATGCTAAAATTAACAACAATAATGACGTGTCTTGGGTTCCTTTTACCAGCTACAGCTGGTAACTGGGATTTCCTTTCTAATAGGTATTGGCATGTTTAATAACATAACCAGTTTTTTTAACTGTAAGGAAAGCACATAATTGAGTTGAATAAACACAAACTCTAAACAAATTGCCAGTATTTCTACATTCTTACTTGTAAAGTAATCCATGTTATCCTTGTAGCACGTACTCTTCAGTCTCATTTCTCTTCAAACATTTGAGATACCCTGTGCCAGCTTCTTCTTCCTAAATGTCTCTCTTTGTACTAGTTGTCCCATAAAATACACATATATTTAAATGTTTTGCATTTGTATATGTGTGTATACATTCGTAGGTATACATACAATTTCAAGTAATATTTATCGGGCCTTATTGTCTACCAGAAAAAAGACTATACTGACCTTGAAATACTTGTTGGTCAATGCCATCACTGCAGTTGCTATTATTGTTCCCATTTAATTGACAAAATGTCTCATGAAGTCCTTCCCTGAAGATTCCATGGCTCAATATTGGCAAATTTGGTTTTAATCTAGGTCATTCAACTCCAAAGTTTAGACTCTAAAAACGGGCTTTATCCTCCCTTTTCTGCTTGTTTTGCTTTGGTTTCAGGATGGTCTCTCATCTAGGTAACAGAAAACAGGTCCCTGCATCAGTGAATGAAATAAGGGTCCTCCACAGGTGCCCATGATCTCATCTTTGCAGTTCATTTATGTGTTGTTTTACATGAGAGTGATTCGGAACCAAACTATTATGGCTTACTAAAGCAGGGGATTGTGTTACAGGAGTCCTCCCTATGGAGGAAGGAGGGTAGATTTAGGGAAGTGCTGGCTAAGTTTGTATTTGCTTGGGTATCTAATCAAGCACTAATGGAAGGGTTGCTGCGAAAGTACTGTGTCTTGTAAGTGGCTGATTCTGTAATCAGCTATCTTTAAGTAAAGAGATTAGTTCTCATGGTCTCTGGGGTCTCCTGCAGTCAGTTGAAAGCCCCTGAGAATAGAATTGATATTTCATTGCAACATCAGTTCCTGCCAGAGTCTATACAGCCCAGTACCCTACTTGTAATGCTCTGGACTTCTAGGCCCTTCATGTCTGTAATCCAAGTTCCACTCATCTAAATACACTGCGTGTACATGTGTGCATGTATAGCACAGTTGTGTATGTATGTACAGGTGTATACATATGCTTGTGTGTACGAAGATGCTTAGTTCCTGATGTTGAAGATAGGAGCATGGAAATGTAGGTGACTTCCAGAAGTTAGACAATTCTTTTTTGAGGCACCCTAGAAGAAATACAGGTCATGATCCTAGCATAGTGGTGTTTTTAGATTCCTGGCTTCCCTAATCCTGAGATAATACACTTGTGCTACTTTTAGCTACTGTGCCTATTTCTTGAGAGTTGAGAGCACATAGTACTCTAGCAAAGGGCCCACGTTCAGTTTCCAGTACCTACATTGCAGAGTGGGTGGCTCACAATGGCCTATACCTTCCGATCCATGAGATTCAATGCCATTTTCTGTCCTCAGTTGACATTGTCTTCATGTGTACATACAGTGTCAGAGACATGCATATAATGACAAATAATAACAATTACATTAATTGTTAAAATTAATAATAGGAAGAATTAAGGAAAACAGAACTGCTTGCTTTTCTAGTCAATGCTTTCTTTGCTTGTGGATAAACTGCCTGCCAGAGTGCTTTGCTGGGGTACGATGGTGATTAATTCCATAGCCAGCTGCCGTGGGGGTCTCCAAGATCTGTCAGGCTCTTAACACCAGCAACTGAGCAGCTCCACTTTGATCAAACACAGAGACACTTTTATCCACACACTTTTCTGATCATGGGAAGAACATTTCCAATTTCCAGGTCAGCAAGGGTTCTGCTAGCTGTTTCCCTCATCTCACCCCCTGGTCAGCCCTTCTGGAGGTGACAATTATTTTTCACTTGGGAGAGACTCCATATATTACCCTCTTTTCAAGCAATTCAAATCACAATAGCAGTTTCCTTTTTATAGTTCATATAATTTAGACAACTGTTATATAAAAAGTTTAGAAATTGCAGTTATTGAAGTAAAGCATATGTACATTTTGAAATACTAATTGTAAGTTATATGGACCCTACATTTGAATTGAATTTTTTTGCTAAATAAATCAATTTATTGTTCTAAGTAGGTAATTTTATAATGGTATAAAATTTATGGCATTCATTAGTTACCAACTAGCTAGTCTATCTGAGACAGCTATCTTTTTCTTTATTTTTTGTTTAGAAATATATTTTTCTTTATTCATTGAAAATTTCATATGCTAAAGTAATTTTTTATCTTATTCACCCCAATTCCCTCCCTCCCTACAACTCCTTCTGGGACCCACTGTCCCATTTTCACCCTGACTCCCCATCCATTTTAAAACTCAGAAGCAGCAGCAGCAACAGCCGATTGTATCTAATTAGTGCTTATCAGGTGCAAATGTTATAGGGCCATCCATATAGGCAGCCTACAAGTGGCCACATCCCCAAAGAAAAGCAATTCTCCTTTGACAGCCATCAAGTGCCAACTGTTCCCCAGCTAGAGAAGAAGGCACCTGAGCCCTTCCCAATCCATGTTGGAATGTTGACTGACTGTCATGAGCAGACACCCACAGCTTCTGTGAGTTCATGGGTGCATTAGCCAACAATGGCTGCATGCTTGTCTCTGTGTAAACCTGTTGAAATGGCTTGTGAATGGATATGTTGGGATCCTTACTTCAGTTTTCCTGGGTTTTTGTAGAGGTCTTTTCCTTTTTGCTTCCAATTATGAATTAGAAATGTGAGGTTGAGTCTGGGGACTGTGTACTGGGGATCCCATTATGGCTGTCCAGCTCACCCAGACACTGCCAGCATCCTAGTTTCTTTGTTTGCCCACGGGATGAGATAAACATGGGCCTGTTTCCACTCTGCCTTCTGGTGCCCTGCTTGGAGCCGCCTGAGGCCAGAACTGCACACTGGGGAACCCATCCTGGCTGTCCAGCCCACCTAGGGACTGCCAAGGCCCCAGTAGTAATGCTACCTCCATCCACAGGAAAAGGAGAGCCGTGAGACTATTGGATATCCTTGTACCCACCAGAAGGGAACCTTGGGCCTGTACCCAATAGGAGAGGAAGAGACTCCTCCTGCACACACTGGAAGAAGGATTGGGAAGAAGACAATATAAAAATACATTCAACAACAGAAAAACCAATATGACACCACCAGAGTCTAGGGACTCTATACCTGTAAGACCTGGTCATTCCAACACAGATGAAGCAGAAGTGAATGACCTTAAAAACAACTTCATGAAAATGATAGAAACCTCAAAGAGGATATGAGAAAATCCCTTAAAGAAATGAAAGGAAAAACAAATAAAAATATAAAAAAATCAACAAATACCTTAAAGAAAGCAAGGAAATCCAAGGAAAAACAATCAAACAGATGTAGGAAACAACTCAAACAATTCAAGACATGAAAACTAAAATAAAGAAAATACAAACTGAGGAAATGCTGGAAATAGAAAAGCTGGATAAATGATAAGGAGCTACAGATGCAAGCATAACCATCTGAATACAAGAGACGGAAGAGAGAATCTCATGCATTGAAGATACTCCAAGAGAAATAGATTCATCAATCAAAGAAAGCCTTATGTCCAAAAAATCCCTAACACAAAATATCCAGGAATTATGAGACACTGTGAAAGACCAAACATAAGAATAATGGGCATAGAAGAAGGGGAAGAAACTCACCTCAAAAGGTCAGAAAACATATTCAACAAAAGCATAGAAGAAAACTTTCCTAACCTAAAGAAAGACAGGCCAATGAAAGTACAAGAAGCTTATAGAACAACAAATAGAGTGGACCACAAAATAAATTCCACTCACCACATAATAATCAAAACCCCAAATACACAGAATAAAGAAAGAATATTAAGAGGAGTTAAGGAAAAAGGTCAAATAACACATATAGGCAAACCTATCATAAGTACACCTGACTTTTCCATGGAAACTCTGAAAGACAGAAGGTCCTGGATAGATATTCTACCAACACTAACAGACCATGGATGCCAACACAGACTGCTATACTTAGCAAAGTTTTCAGTCACTATAGATGGAGATAACAACATATTCCATGATAAACCAAATTTAAACAATATATATTCACGAATCAGGCCCTAAAGAAAGCTCTGGAAGGAAAAGTCCAACACCATACTCTCACCACTAGACAGGACCACCAGACAGAAATTTAACAAAGAAACAAAGGAACTATAATAGAAGTTATAAACCATTGGGTGTAATGGACATCTATAGAATGTTCCATCCCCAAACAAAAGAATATACTTCTTAGCGCAAATCGATCACATACTTGGCAACATAGCAAGCCTCAACAGGGACAAAAACTTGGAATAACCCCCTGTGTCTTATCAGACCACCATGCTTTAGGGTCAGAATTCAACACATGAATTGCAGAAACCCTACAACCTCATGGAAATTGCACAATGAGCAATTGTACTATTCCTCTGTCAAGGAAAAAATTTAAAAAAATTAGAGACTTCCTAAAATTCAATGAGAATGAAGAAACAGCATACCCAAATTTATGGGACGCTTTGAAAATAGTGCTACAACAAAAGGTCATAGCACAAGTCCCCACATGAAGAAACTGGAGAATAGTCACACTAGAGAATTAACAAAAGAACTGAAAGCTACAGAAGAAAAAGAAACAAACTCACCCAGGAGTAGACAATAGGAAATAATCAAGTTATGGCTGAAATCAATAAAAATAGAAACTAAGAAGACAATACAAAGAATCAATGTAACAAAGAGTTGGTTCTTTGAGAAGATCAAAAGATAGACAAACATTTATCCAAACACACCAAACTAACCAAATGGCAGAATGTGAATATGCAAATTAACAAAATCAGAGATGAAAAGGCAGATATACTAATGGACACAGAGGAAATCCACAGAATCTAAAGGAAATGGACAATTTCTTGAGTAGATATCTTTTACCCAAATTAAATGAAGAACAGAAAAGCTATTTAAATAGACCAATAACACCTAATGAAATAAAAGCAGTTTTCAAAAGTCTCCCAACCAAAAAAAAAAAAAACCAAACAAACAAAAAACAAAATAACCAGGACCAGACAGCTTCAGTGCAGAATTCTCAAACTCTTTTTACTAGGCTACAATTACCTTGGTATCCAAGCCACACAAAGACACAAATAGAAGCAGAAAGGTCATTGTCAAACCCTTTTTACAAGGCTACAATTACCTTTGTTTGGTACCCAAGCCACACAAAGACACAACTAAGAAAGAGAACCCTCATGAACATTGATGCAAAATACTTAATAAAATACTGGCAAATCGGATCTAAGATCACATAAGAAAAATCATCCACTATGATCAAGTAGGCTTCATCCCAGGGATGCAGGATGGTTCAACATACGAAAATCCATCAATGTAATCCACCATATAAGCAAACTGTAAAAGAAAAATCACATGATCATCTCACTTGATGCTGATAAAGCCTTTGACAAAATCCAACGCTTCTTCATGATACAGGTCCTGGAGAGATCATGGATAACAGGAACATGCCTGAACATAATAAAAGCAATATA